GCTGCCGACTTTCCACTCCAGCCGACTTGGCGCGTGGGTGACACGTCCGGGGTTACTCCGAGGCTTGTTGACCTCCCGACCCGCTTCCGGGCCGCCGCGCCGTCCGGCCGGCTGAGAGGAGAACCGCGGTTCCCAGGGCCCGGCGACAGCCAATGGGAGGAGGCGCGGGGCGGGGCGAGCGATGCCGATGGTCCGAGTCCGAGCGCGCTCTGCCATTCGGGACCCAGCGGCTCGGAGGCGGGCGGGTCTAGGGCCTTCGCCGCCCTTTCTGCCGGGGGCGGGGGCCAGGGCCGGCTGGCCGCCCCCGCTTCAGGCGGACCAGGGAGGGGGGCAATGGCCCTGCGTGCTCCTCGGACCAGGGAGAGAAACGCCCCGGGCCAGCAGGTGTGTAGCGCGGGAAGGGAGCCCTGGACCGAGCGAGACCGAGCAGAGTGGTTGGTGTGCGGGCCTCGGGAGGATCTTGGCGTGTTCAGTTCTAACCCCCTGGAGAGGTGGACATTGCACCGTGAGCTGCCCGGGATCACTCAGGCTGGTTTGCAAGTTAGTGCAGGCGAAGTGACCCCTCTTCTGGAACCACGTACCCAGACCCCCTCGGCTCGCTCCTCGGACCCGGAGCAGCCCACCTCCGAGGCGTCTCTGCTGCTGGATCCGGGGGCGGGGCGGGCCAGCCTCGGGAAGGAAAGCTCAGCAAGAAGGGCGGTGGACTGAAGGGCCGCAGCTTTTTCTGCCCGCCCTGAGCAGGGAAGATTCGTGGCAGTCAATTCCGGACTTCTCCGATTTGAGAGTGTCTCCCAACTTCCACTGTGGTTCCACCAAACCTTTGAGATGAAGCCAACCAATTTCTCTATTTTTTCTTTATTTATAGCAGACTTTCATGGTGGCTGTGTTGAAAATAGGAACTAAAGAAAGTCCCAACATATAATAACTATTGTGTGGGAGAAAAGAGAAAATTGCACTTCAGAAGAATGGAGTGAGTTTAACCCCTTGCAAGGATTTAATGAGCGCCCAGAGTACTTTTCTGATCCTTACACAAGCTTGTGCTAAAGGCCAAGAGATGTACAGAGGATGATTTGGCAAGAAGTTCTGTGCCAGAGGGCAAAAAATGCATAGGGTAGAAACACACACCTGAGGTCAGAAGTTCTTGGGCCAAGGAGAGGCAGGAAGATTGGAGGATTGACCAACAAGGAGCAATATTCATCTAGGAGCCCTCAATGCCATGAGGTGGTGGCTTCTCTAAGAATTTACCAGCCAACTTTAAAATATTAGGGACTAGAAACAGAAATTTAGAAAGATGTAGACTTGACAGAGCACTGACCCACATTTCACAATAGCTGTGTTTGTCATTGGATGCATGTCAGTTGAACAAACAAAGGAAATCAGAACTTAAAGATAATTGCAGGTTTAACAGGATGTTTGACTTGGCTTACTGGAAAAAAAAAAAAAAAAGGCCTGGAAAGAGGGAAGTTTTACCTCTCCCTGATAGTGGTCTCTGAAGCTGGCATGAAGGAAGTGACTTTGGAAAGAATTAAAAATCTTGAGGTTGCCTCTTTTCTTTTTCATCTGCCTTTCCTAGTTCCCATGAAGTAATAGGAACTCTGGCCCCAAGATTGCTTCTTAATGGTGTTGCTGTTTATCAGCCTTAGGAGCACTGCAAAATCAGGTTACCCTCAAAAACTATCCTTATGTGAAATTTCAGCAAGCCATTACATGTCCTGCTTTTGACCTCACTGAATATTTGAAGTAATTAAGTTCTAAAGAACAAGCCAAGGAAAGGCCTAATAAAAGAGCTTCAGTGAAAGAAAACGAAGGATGAGTTAGGATCTAACAAGACCATGTAGGATCTAATAATCTAATCATTACCATCAAATGTTAAGACAAGTGGGCAGAGCTGTGTCTTTAAGGCAATACACCTGAAATTTCAACAACTCCAATGTGGTGCATGCCAAAACCTGCCAATCTTTACTATAGGCTTTGTAAAGCTGTTTCAGGAGTTCTTGCCACACAAGCCATTATGTCAGTAAGAAGCGGAGGAGGAGAGCCAAAGGGTGGAGAGAACTTACTATACAAGACTAACAAGTGTAAGAGAAGGGAGTAGAACATTTCTAGAAGCTGAAACTAGACAGCAATAATGGGATGAATTGTGTCCCAGAATTCATACGTTAACGTCCTAATCCCCATCACCTCAGAAGGTGAATATATTTGGAGATAGGATCTTTAAAGAGAAAGTTAAATTAAAATGAGGTCATTAGGGTAGTCCCTAATTCCAAATTATTGGTGTCCTTATAAAAAGAGGAAACTAGGACACAGACACATACAGAGGATAGACCATCCGTGAATCACAAATTGATAAAGCATTTGCCAGAATTGTTGCTCTTATGCTGGAGAAGATGGCTATCTACAATCCAAAGAGAAGCTTCTGAAGAAACCAACCCTGGGAACACCTTGATTTTCGGACTTACAGTCTCTAGAACTGTGAAGAAATAAATTTATGTTGTTTAAGCCACTCAATCTGTGGTACTTTATTATGGGAGCCCTAGAAAACTAATACAAGGTCCCAAATATCAAATGGCTTCCAAGTTTTTTAAGAAGGTTGTCAGATTTATCCTGAACATTCCAGATATCATCCAACCTTAAAGATGGTCTCTAATATTGGGCATTAACTATAATTGAAAAAATCAATTTTTAAAAAATTAGGGGGGCCCTGGCTGGTTTGGCTCAGTGGATAGAGCATCAGCCTGTGGACTCAAGGGTCCCGGGTTCGATTCCGGTCAGGGGCACATACCTTGGTTGCAGGCAACATACCCATTAGGGAGTGTGCAGGAGGCAGCTGATCAATGTTTCTCTCTCATCGATGTTTCTAACTCTCTACCCCTCTCCCTTCCTCTCTGTAAAAAAACCCAATAAAATATATTAAAAAATTGGGAAAGCCCGGCTGGTATGGCTCAGTGGTTGAGCATCAATCCAGGAACCAAGAGGTCACAGTTCGATTCCTGGTCAGGGCATATGCCAAGGTTGCAGGCTCAATCCCCAGTAGGGGACATGCAGGAGGCAGCCAAATGATGATGTTTCTCTCTCTCTCTAAAAAATTCAATAAAAACATATTTTTTAATTTTTATTTTTTTAAATCCTCACCAGAGGAATGAGGATATTTTTTCCTTTTTTTTTTTTTTTTTTTTTTTTTTTTTGCGAGAGTGGAAGGGAGGGATGAAGGAAAGAGAGAGAGTGAGGAAAGAGAGAAACATTGATATGAGAGAGACACATTGATTGGTTTCCCTCTGTTCATAGCCTGGGATTGAACCTACAACCAAGGTACATGCCCTTGACCACAAATCAAACCTGCAACCCTTTGGTCCAAAGACCAATGCTCTATCCACTGAGCCAAACCCGCTAGGGCAATAAAAACTTTTTTTTTTTAATTATGGAAAAAAGATGGTCTCTCACCTTACTGTGGGAAAGTAAGAAAAGTCTGAGGGGTCCCTGTCATTAAAGTGATTACAATCTAGTTGGGAAGACAAAACTAAACACCAAACAGAATGTCTACAACTTGCTCCTTAGATGACAGCCATGTGAATTTTATAAGAGCCATAGATGAGAGAGGATAAATTCTAAAAAATTAATAAGCCCAGGAATACATAAACAGTATGTTTATATGTGTGTCACTGTGTATATGTTGGCACTTTATTGTCAATTATACTTTAGTTTATGGCAATGTTTCTTAAAGTCTGTTTCCACTGAGTACCTGCAACAGAATCACTAGGTACTTATTAAAAATGCAGATTCCTAGCCCCACTGCAGACTTTTTTAAGCAGTAATTATTCACCCTGATAATTATTCTACTGAAGAACAATAGGATTTATCCTTATTGTCCCCCTGTTTGCTGCCAATGTCTCTGGTCAAACAGTAATGCCTTCTACACCTACATGTCCAAGATAGGAAAGTCTTATCAGGTCAGGCCAAAGTTAAACCAAGGGAAGAAAAGTGCCTTAATAGAAAATGGAACTATGAAGAGTTCCCTGTCCTGGTAGCTCGGCAAGTTCCAACTTTCTTACGTAGCAAACGGTTGGGGCAGAGGGACAGAAGAAATACTGGGATGTTATTTCCCACTGGTCCTCAACATATAACATATATTCCAATCTGGTTTCTAGCTCTTGCCACACTTATTCTTACCTTTGCTTCTACTGTCAAACTTGTCCTTCCTCTCCCTCCTAATTTTCTGAATCTTTCTGGTCCTTGGGAGTCCCCTTTTCTCTAAGATTTCTTTACTTCTCCAGCTTCTACTGATATATCTCCTCTGAATTCCTGTAGCATTCTAGTCACCACCACATGATTCAACATTTATTAGGCTTTAATTTTTTGTGTCTATGTTGGTTTTAGCTCTCCAGCTAAATTTTAATAATCTTAGGGACAGAGAGTGTTTCTTATAGTTTGGTATTCCTCTCTATAACTACTAGAGTAGGGCTAAGTAAGTACTTCACTGACTGAAGTAAAAATTAACTAGCTCTGTACCGGAGAGGTCACACTGCTCCTTATGTCTGTCTGCTTATCCGTCTTCATGTCGCCTTTGGGAGGCAAAGCCTCCAGTAGGATACTTAGCTGATTTACAGATGGACAGACTTCATCAAGAAAAGTCAGGTCCTTGCCCTAGCCGGTTTGGCTCAGTGGATAAAGCGCCAGCCTGCAGACTGAAGGATCCCGGGTTCGATTCTGGTCAAGGGCACATGCCCGGGTTGTGGGCTCGATCGCCAGTAGGGGGCATGCAGGAGGCAGCTGATCAATGATTCTCATCATTGATGTTTCTATCTCTCTCTCCCTCTCCCTTCCTCTCTGAAATCAATAAAAATATATTTTAAAAAAGAAAAGTTAGGTCCTTGACCAGAATTGTGGCTCCAGTCATGAGATAGAGAAAAACAAAACATACAAAACTTTATCTGAACACTACGTTCCTTGCTCTGGTCAACCATTCAAGTTCGTCCAGAATTAAGAGCCTGGAAACTTCACACCATAAAGTCAGAAAATGTTCTCAAGGATGCCACTTTGTAAGTCTGGTCCTGATGATAAAAGGTAGGATTGCACAGTGAAGGACAGGGTTCACAGTGGAGACCCACCAGGATGTTTTCACATGGACATTTGGGTTTTCACTAGGTATTTCAGCTCTCCCTCCCTCCTAACTATCCGATACTAATCACTTCCAGTGCCCATCTATACTACCTATATTTGACAATCCTCAAATCTTAGCTACTTCTTCCACAGCACTTCCAATATCTTTTTTTTTTTAATCTCTAAGTCCTACACATCTCGTAACTAAATACCTAGAGAAAGTTTAAAAGGCCCCTTTAACTAAAGACAGGAAAGTGGACAAGATAACTTGTTTAGGTCCTGCCCAG